GGCTGTGCAGGCTGTTTGAGGACAAAGGGGATTCCTGGCAACATTGCCTGGTTTGAACCCAGCATTGCCACTTACCTGCCACATGATCTCAGTTATCTCCCTCCCCTAAGCCTCTTTCTATACCTGTAAAATTGGGATATGAAATGTTTCCTCTTTATAGGGCTGTTATGGTGCTTAACTTCAGAAGCAAGTGGAGAATACAGAATGTAAAATCCTTCTTAGCTGGGCTCCTTATCTCAGGACCTTATTACTAAGGAAAAAGATGGGATGAATACAAAAAATAAACCAGCAACCATGGCCACAGAGAGCACCTGATCAGCTCTACTTGGCTGCATCAACATGGAGCATTCCTTTTAGACACAGCATTGTGCCAAGTCCCTGTAGAAACATGTCCCTCCCTCCATCTAGAATGTGCATGGTCAGTGTTGCCTGGTCTGAACAGTCAGGATGAAGATGGCAGAACTGGCTTCATACGGAGCCCATGGCATGACCCTGACTGTCTCATGCATTGAGACCCTCATGAGGACCCTGCTCTCAGGAGGGGGTTGTGTAGGCTTGGAGGGTGCCTCGACTTTCAGGGACTCACTCTCATGCTCTCAAGCAAACCCCAGAACTATACCTGGCCCATCTCATCCACGATCCCCTATGACTTTGAGCATCTTGTCTGAAACCCTGTCTCACCAGTCAGGAGTGGCAGCATACAGTGCTCACCTAGGGGCAGGAGGCAGCCTAGGGAGCAGCCCCCAAAAGCCCTTAATCTCTTTCTGGAGCTCAGCTTTGTACCTTCTATCAAGAGGGCAGAATGTCACAGTATCTCCCGGGGCAAAGTTTTGCTTGGTGCAGCCGGAGAGGAGGCTAATGAATAGTGACTCCTCCCTGTCTATCGGGCTTGGAGACCACAAAGAATATTAACCTGGGATCTTTGAGGAGCTGTACACAAGGTAGATTTCTGACAGGTCCCTACCTGCGTCCTTGTGGAGCTGTCTGAGCAAACCCCATCACCCCAAATGTTTCACATCACCAGGGGGAGCCATGGAGTTGCATGATGCATGAGCGCTAATCTTTGTCTAAAACCTCCTGGGGATAGGGATAAGAAGTAGACAGAGAAGATGAGAGGCAGGAGCCCCGAATCAGCTTCCAGAGAAAATGGAAGTGAAATGAAGAAATAATAATGACATTAACAATAGCAATAACATTACTAATAACATTAAATAATAACTACTTCCTGTAGTTTTCATTCCTGTTTGGTGAGATTGTAAATCTTGACATACGTTAGTGTCTGAATGGGTGGGAGTCAGGTGTCAGGAAGCATTTGGGGGTCAAAGAGGATGGAGAAGATTGAAGCAGGGATCCCTGCAACTCTCTGGGTGAGCAGCAGGGAGCGCCATGACTAGGGCAGGGAATGTGGAGTTGGATGCACAGACATAAGCAGGTGTCATGGGGCAGTGGGAAGTCCACAGACTGTCTCACAAGGAAAATTACTTGATTTCTATGTGCCTCAGTGTCCTTATCTGCAAGTGGACATCAGAGCTTCTATCTTTATGAGCATGAGAACAAAATCCAGGCAGAATAAATGAACCACCACAGCAGCAACAACAAACAAGAACAACAGCCAAACCAAGTAGAGAGATGGTCCCTTCTATCATCTGACCCTGAAATCCAGCCACATTTAAAACCAGGTCTACCCGTCAGATTTCCCAGACAATAGAAGTCAATGCATTATTTTCCCCTTTCAAAGTGGGGGAGGGGAAAGCATGCTGTAACACTGGAGGGAAACAACTATGATTTTTATATAAACATTAATTCCATTATGTGTTTCCTTAAGGTTGCCTAATGTACACATTGTCAGAGAGACCATGAGAGTTGCTACAAAGCCCTTTGGAGATGGAGATCATGAAGCCAGCAAATGGTCAAAGGCTGTGAGTCTTCGAAAATCTGTCCTGGTAAGGGATGATGACATCTCCACATGCAAACCTGTCTCCAGAGAAGACACATTCCCATCCACTCAATGCTGCTGATCCTCCTAAACAATTCCAATGGGGTTTTGCCCAGTGAGAAAGGGATGTTTGTATGTACATTCGCATTCTCTTTCTTATTCATCAGAAGTTATTTTTCTGTGCCCCTCACATTCTCAATAATTACTAAGAGAAATTTCTTGACTAACTCACACTCTATACCTGAACATTTGTGTATCTCACAGTGGTTCCCTTTGAGCCCCTTTCCTTTTGAGCTTAAACCTTCCTTGGAGTAATCAGAATAACTTCCAAATAGGTAAGACTGAAAGAGATGATGTTTATTTATTTTGTACATGCTTAAAACATAAATTATATTTTCGCTAGTTGCAGCTAAGACTTGTATTTTAAAACAGGGCGCTAACTTTCCTTCCTCCTATGTCAAAACATTTCAAAAAAAAATCTTAAAATCTTAAAAATCATTTTAAATACTGGGATAAATTAAACAAAAATTTCCAATAATTTCTAAAAAAAAAGTCATATCTATTTCAGAACTCTATCTCTATTTCAGAACATAATCTATTTCAGAACTCTAATATCACTAGAGCCCCCCAAAAATCCTGAGAGTTTTTAGGCATAAAAATTCTCTTGTCTTTCAGCAGACACTTGATCAGTTTACCTGCATCAATAATCTTGGCTATGAATTCATATGGCAGAGTCTATATGCTGGAACATTAAATTTAAAAATGATTTATTTTCTTCTAGCTGTTCCAAAAATAAAGCATGTAAAAACTTCAGTCACAAATGTAAAATACTGTCAGAACAGAACGTTAAATACTTTTTCATTATTAGACATCATTATGAAAGTGATAAATAATATAAAAAATAATACCTATTGTTTAAGAGGCATATATATGTGATGGAAATAAAAAGCCTGGCTTCATTTAAGTTAGATTACATTTATTTGTGGACACAAACAGAGGCCCACGTATGAGAGCAGAGAAGGGCAGAGGAGGGGAGCAGTGGGGAGGATGGTGTAGACTATGTGGGGCCCTGCTGTCCACACAGCAACCTGGAGCTTTTAAGGAGAGCATATATTCAATGGGACTTTCACTCTGACAGGACCCCTCAGCCTCCCTGGACAGAACAGACCCAAGTGGGTCATGGCAGTCACAGAGAAGCTAGAAAGGTGTTTCCTGGGTCCTCCAGGAGGAGGGATAGGGGCTTGAACCAGGGAGGCAGGGGTAGGGTGAGGATATGCTTTTGGATGTGTGTGGAAGGTTGAGCTCACAGGGTTTTCTAATGGATGTGGTCAGCAAGGGGAAATCAAGACCAAGGATGAGGCCCGAATATTCCCCTGAGCACCTGAAAGGAAGGAGCTGTGTCCATAGAGGACTTCAGAGGGAAGGCTTTCAGGGGCGATGGTAATTCTGAGAATCCCCCTGACATCCAAAATGGGAATAGGACAGAGACAGCTAAATGCAAATGCCTGGAGTACAGGAGGGGGGTCCAGGCTGGGGATGTTTCAATGCATAGCTGGAGTGAGGTGATCATCACATATGAGGTAAGAAAGTGATGACGACAGGTGGAAGAGGACACATACTTGTCACCGGTGCTTTTGTGACAACATATGCTATCTTCAATCTTTTTGATAATAGTCATTCTAATGGATACAATCAGATCTGTGCCACACGATCTAGGAAGGCAGATTTCCAAATCTCAAGTAAGAGATCAGCATGGCCATACTGTCTGAAACTCTTGACAAACAAGAAGGAGCAAGAGGGTTAGGAAATTTCTGAAAAACTAAATTCCAACAAGACAATTACAAACACATGTTAATGCCCAAACAAGCAGCTCACGAAAGAAAAATACAAATAGCCATAAACATGAAAAACTAAGCCTGAACTTTTATTAGAAGGGGAACCTCAAACCCACACATGGTCAGAAGTCATTCACCTCTGCATAGGGTGGAGGAAAACTCCAAAGTCAAGTGTTAAATATACCTTAAAAATGAAGATGTGAATCTCACTGCACGTATTTAGTGAACTTTATCAGGCATAATTTACATGAAATAAAGTGTCTGTATATTACACTCATATTATCTGAAAATATGTCTTTGGGCCACATTTATCTATGAGAAGCATATTTTTTCATTAAAGGAAATGCTAATCTCTATAATGAGTACCTTTAAAAAAATCGCTCCTGTCCACACTACACTGAGTAGCAACATTAACCAAAAAGAAGTATCTCCTGCACTGGTTCATAGAATATGTGTTCTTCTTTATGTTTTACACGAAGATGCTGCATGGTTCTTATTTTAGAGGTGTCATTGAAACTGAAAATCTGTATACTACTTATCAGGGAAAAATTCTATAGCCACATTTCTTTAAAAATACCCAATATGCTACCATGACACATGGCAAAATCATCAGTGCCCACAGCTCTAAAGCCAGACAGTGTGTGTGTGCTAAGGATGTGAGGTGATGGATGGGGAGCATCTCAAGGCGAGGGGCCAGGTCAGTGCTATCTCTTCTCTCCATTGCCACCTACACACAGAAACTCACTATTTATTTGGTGAATGAATGAATGGCTACCACCTTCACTGCACCTAGGGCCATTCTTCATTTATTTAGTCCCAGACACTCCCACAGACCCTACAGAATCCTATATCCTGCAGGATCAATGACCTCATGGCTCAAGATGAGGCTGTGACTGGGGCCAGGAGTGACCAGTTCCCAGGTATAAACAGTGATGCACAGAAAAACACCTCAGAGTGAGAGGGTTTTCGACATTGGTGTCCCACACTTCAGATGTTCCCAGAGGTCCTGGTCCACACTGGCATTGGAGGGAAATCCTGAGGTGGGAGGCAGAAAGTGGTCTCTCTTCCTTCTCTGGTCACCTTTGGGCAGGTCTCTGATGTCACTTGGCTTTGGAGTTTTCCTCCATTCTGTTCAGAGGCGGATGACCTCTGACCATCTGTGGGTTTGAGGTTCCTCTTCTGTGAACTGCCAAGATCTCGTGCTTCTCCCCACAATGTCTCTTGTGACCTAGTTCGGTCCCCACAGTCCTCTTCTCTGCTCACACAGGAAGCTCAGGAAGCCTCTGCCTCAGAGATGCTGCTGCTGCCGCTCCTGCTGCCACTACCCCTACTGTGGGCAGGTGAGTGTCCCTGGGGCTGTGAGAGGGGCTGTGGGGATGAGCCCAGCTGACCCTCATGTCTCTACAGGGGCCCTCACTGAGGATGCAGGATTCCGGCTGGAGGTGCCAGAGTCTGTGAGGGTGCAAGAGGGTCTGTGCGTCTTTGTGCATTGTTCAGTCTTCTACATACAGTATGGCTGGAAAGATTCTACTCCTGCTTATGGGTACTGGTTCCGGGAAGGGGTCAGTGTAGACCGGGACACTCCAGTGGCCACAAACAACTCAACTCAAGAAGTGTGGAAGGAGACCCAGGGCCGATTCCACCTCCTCGGTGATCCCGGGAGGAACAACTGCTCCCTGAGCATCAGAGACGCCAGGAGGAAGGATAATGGTTCATACTTCTTTCGGGTGGAGAGAGGAAGAATAAAATTTAGTTACAAATATCCCCAGCTCTCTGTGCATGTGACAGGTAAGGCATGGGCTCCAGGAGTGGCACAAGGGGAAGGTTAAGGGGGCCACGGGGAAGGGCCCAGATGGGACTTGTATCCCTGAAGGGTGTTAGGAATGAAGCATGTCGGGCTTGGGAGAGGAGCTGGACCAGAGCCTGAGCTTCCTACAGGGCTACACCTTGGATATCCCTCCTGATCCCGCATCCCCACCTCTGTCTTCACCAGCCCTGACCCACAAGCCTGACATCCTCATTCCGGAGTTCCTGAAGTCTGGCCACCCCAGCAACCTGACCTGCTCTGTGCCCTGGGCCTGTGAGCAAGGAACACCCCCCATCTTCTCCTGGATGTCCGCTGCTGCCACCTCCCTGGGCCCCAGGACTCTCCACTCCTCAGTGCTCATGATCACCCCACGGCCCCAGGACCACGGCACCAACCTCACCTGTCAGGTGATGTTCCCTGGAGCTGGTGTGGCCACGGAGAGAATCATCCAGCTCAGTGTCTCTTGTGAGTGCTGGGGCCAGGATGCCTAGGTCCCTGAGGGTGTGGTGGGGAGAGGAGGACCAGGAGATAGGAGGACCAGGACTGGGGCCATTTGGTGGCTGTGTCTTGGATGCCTCGCTGAGTAGGGGAACTAAAAGGACCCAAGCTGTCACTCGACATTTCTGTGGGTTTCTAGAGGAGTGCCTACTTTCATCTCACCCCCATCCCAACTAAATGAGAAATCCTCTCTTGCTGTACTAGATCCTAAAATGAACCCAGCGATTGAAGCCTCCCTAGAAGATGGAACAGGTAGGACAGAGCCCCTCACCGTGGCACTGAAGAGCAGGGCCTTCAGCTCAGGGCAGAGCCAGGCTCTTGCCTCATCCTGACTCACTATGGTAACCAGAGACCCCTGTTGGCCAACTCAGGGATCCTCCCTATCCTCAGCTCCCATGGACACCTGAGCACGTGTCTGCATAGGCCCACAGATTCCTCCAAACACACGTCCTGGCCCCACAATAAGGACCAAGTGACATTCACACAGCAGGACCAGCCTTTGAGCCCTTATCCTCCACCTCCTAAAAACTCCTCCAGCCTCAACTTTTAATATTTCCCAGGAGTTTAATGTACTTCTGGACAGGTAATATAATCATATGGGCAAAAATGCTAAATCCATAGCAGAGTATGTCCTCAGATGCCTGTACCTGTCCCCAGAACCAACCAGTGTCCATCCTGGCTGCTCTGAGCCTTGGTGTATTCCCTGGAAGGATCTCAGAGGTCATTTGCTATCAGCAGCACAGACTGTCCTCACTCTCCTCTTGGACTGTGTAGTGTTCATTGAAGAGTTGGATCCTAATTCTGTGTATATCTTCTTGAAATGGAAAATCATGTTTCTACCAACAGAAACAATGGATTGAACAGTCTTCTATCTACTTTACAGGTCTATGTCTATGTCTGTGGGATCAATTCTTTAAAGCAAAATAGCTGGGTCTTATGTTCTTTCTGATTTTGAGAGATATGGCCAAATTGTTCTCAATCAACAGTGGATAAGTTTACATTTCCAACGGCGTGGAGTGAAAGTCTTCTTTTCTTTCTTTCTTTTTTTTTTTTTTTTTTTTTTTTTTTTTTGTTTAAATTTTTTTTTTTTTTTTTTTTTTTTTTTTTTTTTTTTTTTTTTCTGAGAGTCTCACTCTGTCACCCAGGCTGGAGTGCAGTAGCATGGTCTCAGCTCACTGCAACCTCCACTTCATGGGTTCAAGCAATTCTCGTGCCTCAGCCTCCCAAGTAGCTGGTAGACTACAGGTGCCTGCCACCATGCCTGGCTAATTTTTTGCATTTTAGTAGAAATGGGGTTTCACCATGTTGCCCAGGCTTGTCTCCAACTCCAGAGCTCAGGCAATCTGTCTCCCTCAGCCTCCCAAAGTGCTTGGACCACAGGCTTAAGCCACCATACCCAGCCGAAAGTGTGTTTTCATCAACCCAATGTGGAATGAAACATTTTTCTTTTTCCCAGTATTAGATGAAAATTGGTATCTCCATATAATTTTTTTTCTTTATATGAACTTTTAAAATTGAGATAAAATTAAATTGAGAAATCATTAAATTTACAATTTTAATCATTTTAAATTGTATGGTAAACTGGCTTTTAGTCACATATTGCACAACCATAATCACGATCTAATCCAAGAACATTTTCTTTACTTCAAAAATCCACTCCATTCGCATTAAGCAGTCACTTCTCATTATCCCCTCCTGTGGCAAGCACTAATCTGCCTTCTGTCTCTACAGATTTGCCTATTTCTGACATTTCATGTAAGTGGAATCACACAAAATACAGCCTCTTGTGTCTGATTTTTTTCACATAACATAATGCTGTCAAGATTCACCCCTGTACTATGCATGAGTTCTTCATTTCTTTGGAAATCTAATATCCCATTGTATGGAGACACTATGTTTTGCTCATTCACTCCTCAGTTGATGAACATTACAGCTGTTAACACTTTTTGGCTATTACTAATAATACTGCCAAGAACATTCATGTACAACTTTTTGTTGGAACCTATGTTTTTATTTTGCTTGAGCATATCCCTAGGAGTGGAATTTTTAGGTCATGTTGTAATCCTGTGTTTAACTTTTTGAGGAGATGCCAGCCTCTTATCCAGTGTCAGCACCACTTTTCACTGGCACCAGCAACATATAGAGTTGCAAATTCTCCACATTCTTTTGAACATTCTCATTTTTCTTTTTAAAAAGAACTATGGCCGGGCGCGGTGGCTCACACCTGTAATCCCAGCACTGTGGGAGGCCGAGGTGGGTGGATCACGAGGTCAAGAGATCGAGACCATCCTGGTCAATACGGTGAAACCCCGTCTCTACTAAAAATACAAAAAATTAGCTGGGCATGGTGGTGCGTGCCTGTAATCCCAGCTACTCAGGAGGCTGAGGCAGGAGAATTGCCTGAACCCAGGAGGCGGAGGTTGTGGTGAGCCGAGATCGCGCCATTGCACTCTGGCCTGGGTAACATGAGTGAAACTCCGTCTCAAAAAAAAAAAAAAAGAACTATGGCCTTCTAGTGCATATAAATTAGTAACTCATTGTGGGTACAATATGCATTAACATACTGATGAATGGTATCGAACATATTTTCATGGACTAATTGGTATTTGTATCTTTTTTTGGAGAAGTTTTCACTCAAGCTCTTTGTCTACTTTTAAATAGATTAATTTGGGTTGTTTGTAATTTGAGTGGTTTGTAAATTACATGCTCTTTATATATGCTGGATACTACACCCTTATCAGATCCGTGCTTTACAAATGTATTTTCCCATTCTGTGGGTTGTCTATTTGCTTTCTTGATAGTGCCATTCAATGCGAAATAGTTTTTAATTTTGAAAAGTCCAAATTATGTATCATTTCTTCCTCCAACTGCTGGACAGACAGGGCACAGCTTAGGGTGAGCCCTGGGCTGATGTGGTACCACATCCAAGGATTCAGGAAGGATCTGGAGAACCAATGTCCAAGTTGTCTTGGGAGAGGAAGGACACGAATTGTGGTTTAGCAGGTAAATGGGCCTCATCCCACCTTTTTGCAGGGAAATCAGGAACCATAGCAGAGGTGGTTGTTTTGGCCGTGGGAGTAGTGGCTATGAAGATCCTGCTTCTCTGCCTCTGCCTTATCATCCTCAGGTTAGCACTGCTTGAAGACCAAGGGCAGGCATGGGGAGGGCAGAGGATATGATGCTGAATCTCAGAATCTCAATCCTGGGGCTATGCAGACAGTTTAAGAGGGCCTGGGGCCAGGCAGGAGGCTGAATTGGTGGTGAGAATTTCAGATGGGTCATTTGTAGTCAGTTTGTATCTTTCCCAACTATGGGACAAATGCCAGGATGGGGTGCTTCCTCCTGTCATGAAGGAGGTCCAGACCTGCTCTTCCTCCCTTATAATCCCTCCAGCCTCTTAACAGGGCATAGGAAGGTGAGTTGGCTGCCCTTTGTTCCCCCATGTGGCCACACTGACAGGCCCTTGTCTCTTCACTCAGTGTCAATTTCTACAAGAAGGCAGCAGTGAGGGCAGTAGAAGTCCAGGAGAATGTATACACTGTCATGGATTAATCTCTCAGGTGAGTGATATGGACCTCTCACCCTCCAACATCCTGTTGGACACCTCCTCCACAATGGCCTCCAGGATTGTTCTGCTCATGGCCAGAGTTAAGCTAACTGTCTTCCTCCTCAAACCCACTTCTCCTGGGATCTTCATCCTGCAGATGACATAGAGGCCTCATCTCTAAAGTCAGAACCAGAGTGTCGGTCTCCACCTTGACCCCCTCCCTTCTCCAGATCCCATAAATCACTAGCTCTTGTCTCCCCTTCTCCTAAGCAGGGCTCATCTTTTCTCCATCTTGACCCTGGTCATTCTTGAGGCTCACCTCTTCCCTGGTCATTGAACCCTTTTCACCTCCTGCCTCCATCTCTCCCCAACACAGGCCTCCAGACTGTGCTTCCAGATGTCTCCTCATCTAGTTCATCCATAGTCTGAACGGCCATGTTTCCTCTCCATTGCTGGAGAATGAAGTGAAATGCCACTGCCTGGACTGAAGGCCTTTCATGATCTGTCCTCTGCTGGACTCTGCTCCTCACCCCCCTTCTTGCATCACCCAAAGTTTCACCACACCCATTAGGCCAAGCCCTCTGTGACTCTGAGACTTTGCTTGTATAGTTCCTTCTCCTGAAATGCCCTTCCTCCCCATTCCTGCCAATTCAGGTCTTTATCATCCTTCAGGTTGTCTTAAATGTCACCCAGATGCATGTGTAATTTTGTGTAATTCTTCTATTATATTAAGCGGAGATGTGGCATTTATTCATTCATTTACAGACATATTCAGTAACTACACTCAATATATATAACTACTATGTGCTAGCATTTCTGAATGTGCAAGTTCATCAATAGATACAGATTCAAAGATCTCTGTCACCAGGCTGTTGTTCTGAAGAGCAGAAGGATAAAAATAAAAAGAAATAAGTAAAACAATATCTCCATGTTGGATGGAGATATTTGTTCAGAGAAAAATAACTCAGGGAAAGAAGCACAAAATGTATTGGGAAACAGTTTCTATATCTGACAGTGGAAAGACGTGATGTTTAGGCAAAGACATGAAGGTGCTTAAGAGGCAGGCTCTGTTTCTGAATAAGAGAAAAGCATTCCAGGAAGAGGATAAGGGGAAGAGCAAGTGCATTGCTCAGAGGCAGCAGCAGGCCTGGGTGCTATAGACAACTAGGGCACCGTGTCTGAGAGTAGAGAAAGGCTAAGGAGGGGAATAGCAGGGAGGATGCTGCAGACTGTGTGGGGTCCTGCAGTGCATACAGGAACCTGGAGCCTTTGGGAAGAGCAGAGACACAACTGGACTCTCACTCTGACCTTGACTGCCCAGGTTAGAGCTTGCCCAAGTGGGTCATGGCAGCCACAAGGAGACTGGGAAGGCACTGTTGGGTCCTCCAGGAGGAGGGATGAGGACTGAGCCAGGGAGGCAGGGTGGGCTGAGGACATGTTTTTGGATGTGTGTGTAAGGTCAAGCTAACAGGAATCACAAGCTCACAAGCTAACAATGTGTTCAGTGAGGGGAAGGCAAGACCAAGGATGAGGCCAGAGAGGACTTTGAAAGAATGGCTTTCTTAGGGGATGATAATTCTGAGAATCCACCTGACATTGGAATGGGATTAGGAGGGAGACAGCTGGATGTAAATGTCAGGAGCTCAAGAGAGGGGTCCAGGCTGGAGATGTTACAGTGCACAGCTGGAGTAAAGCCACGACAACAAAGTAAGGAAGGGGCAATTACAGACAGAGAAGAGGACACACATTTGTCATTGATGACCTTGGCAACAGTAGGTTTTTGTTTTCTTGTTTACTAACTCTAATCATTTACTTAGATCCTCTTTGATTTTTTAAAACCATATTTTCTGCTTTATTGAAGTGTAATTGACAAATTAAAATTGTATATATTTTCAGTGTATGTGACATTTTGTGGCTGTCCACCTCTTCCCTTCATTATTATTCTTTCTTAATTGACAGACAAAACTTGTATGTATTCAAAGTATACAACATCACATTTTGAAATACTGTATGTATACATGGTAGAAGGCCAAGTCTAGCTAAATAACAGACCCATTACCTCACACACACATGAACAACTCTGCAAGTTAAACTAACACCCTGTAGTCATCTGAAGATTGCTTTGTATCTGGCAATATTTGTTTTCTTTTTATTTATTTTGTTTTGCCTTGTGATAAGAACATTTGAAATTTACTCTCTTAGCCATTTTGAAATGTATGACATAGTATTTTTAACTGTAGTCACCATGCTGTACATGAGATCACCAGAACTTATTCCTCCTATGTAATTGAAACTTTGTTCTTCCACCAACATGTGGCCACTGTCCCGAACCCCAGATCCTGGCCACCAAGGTTCCACCCTCATTTTATGACTTTGAATTTTTCAGATTCCACATAAAACTGAGATCATGCAGTAGTTGTCTTTTTGTGCCTGGTTTATTTGACATAGCCTAATGTCACCCAGGTTCATCCATTCTGCCAGGGGCAGAATTTCTTTCCTTTTAAGGCTGAATAATATTCTACTCTGTGGATACTTATGCTGATTCCATATCTTAGCTATTGTGAATAATGCTGTAATAAACATGGAAGTGCAGATATCTCATGGGGTTACTGATTTCCTTTCCTTAGGATATATACCAAAAATGGTAGTTCTATCTTTAATTTTTTTGAGGAACCTCCATACTGCTTTTCATAATGGCTATACTAATTTACATTTTCACCAATAGTGCACAATGGTTCTCTTCTCCACATCCTCACCAATACTTGTTACCTTTTGTCTTTTTTACAATGTCCATTCAAACAGGAGTGGGATGATGTTGCTTTGCCGTTTTTATAAGCATTTCCCTAATGATTAGTAATGTTGAGCACTTTTTCACATGCCTGTTGGTCATTGTATATCTTCTTTTGAGAAATGTCTATTTCGTTCCTTAACCCTCTTTTAAAAGGGTCATTTTCTTGTTACTGAGTTTTTTCAGTTCCTTCTATAGTCTATTTGCTATAGAGGAATACCTGAGGCTGCATAATTTACAGATAAAAGGAGTTTATCTGGCTCACACTTCTGCAAGCTGTATAGTCAGCATCACACCAGAATCTGCTTTTGGTGAAGGCCTCTGGTTGCTTCCCCTCATAGAGGAAAGTTAAAGAGAGCTGGTGTGTTCAGAGATCAGTCATGGTGACAGAGAACAAGAGAGAGGTGGGAGGTGCCAGTCTATTTAAACAACCAGCTCTCCCGTGGAAACTACCTGTCCCTATGACCCAATCACCTCCCATTAGGCACTACCGACAATACTGCAGATCAAATTTCAACATGAGATTTTGAAAGGTCAGATATCCAAACCCATAGCAGATATTAACCTCTTACCTGATGTATGGTAAGAAAATGTTTGCAAACATTTTCTCCCATTCTCTAGGTTGGATCTTAATTCTAGGTTGTTTCTTTGCTGTGCAAAAAGTTTTTTATTTAGATGTAATCTCATCTGCCTATTTTAGCTTTTGTTGCCTGTGTTTTTGGGGTCATATCCAAAAAAATGATTCCCTTGATCAACATCATGGAACTTTTTCCTGGTGTTTTTTTCCTCCAGCAGTTTTATAGTTTCAGGTCTTATATTTAAGTCTTTGCTTTGTTTATCGTGTGAGACAACTGAATCAATTTTATTGGAGTGGTGAAAAGGATCTTAAGATTTAATTGGAAAAAGTTCAGAAAAGAATCAGAGGGAGGTGGAGGTGGGAAGAGTGAGTACAAACAGCCCTTTAAGGAGTTTTGATGCAAAGGAAAAGAGAGAAATAGGTCTGGAGAAGGAGGGCTTTTCTCAGTTCTCTGAAATCTTCCATAGGTGCTCAATGAATTCATCCCTGGAGAATAGTCTCCTATAGCCACCATGGAAAATTACTATAAACTTGATGTTTTGAAACAAAATATATTATTCTCTCACAGGGAGGTCAGCAATTTGAAATCAGTAAAGCTGGAGAGAAAACAAGGCATTGGTTGGACTGCAACACTAAGAGACTCAAGAGAATCCATTCCTTGCTTTTTCCAGATTATTTCAGCTCCTATCATTTCTGGGCTTCTGGCAAGACCACTCCTACCTCTGCCTCTGTGCTCATATTGCCTTACCCCATTTTGTGTGTGTCAACTCTCCCTCTGCTTCTCTCTTAACAGAACACTTGCAATTAGATTAAGGGGTCAACTGCATAAGTCTCCACTGGTCAAGATCATTAACTTAATCAAATCTAAAAAGACACTTTACTCATACAGTAACATATAGACGGTTCAAGGAACTAAGACTTAGGTTTCTTTGGGAGGGGTCATTTTTCAGTTCACTGAACCGAGCTGACAGGTGACCTTCTGCACCCCTAGAATGCCTCCATCTGCCCTCCAGACCATGTCTTCTCTTTATTATTATTTTCCCTGTTCTTCCTTATCCTGACACACTAGAGGCTCACCTCATGTAACAAATATTTATGGGAATTGGGGGCTGCTGTACTGTAAAAGACATTGTTAGGATAGCCAAAAGATAAGTTACAGACAGGGAGAAAATATCTGAACATAGATATCTGATAAGTGACTTGTATCCAGACTATATCAAGGACTCTCAAAATAAAAATATCAGTAATCAACAACCAAAAAAGCCCAGTTTTATAAACAAACAAACAAAAAAGCAGGCACTCAAGAATAAAAACCAAACACACTACTAAAAATGAACAAAGATCCTTTGATCTTTATCTCATTAAAAATAAAAAAACTAAATTAAAAAAATAAATGAACAAAGGGTGTGAATGACATTTCTACAAAAATACAAAAATGGCTGAAAAGCACATAAATAGATGATCAACATCACTAGTTATTAGGGAAATGCAACTCAAAACCACAACACGAAAATGTCAGTGGGGCAAAAGCTGATTATTGGAGATTTAACACCCCACAGGCAATGGGTTTATAGACATTAGGGAACTTTCCTGCTATATTGACATCATCTGACACTTTC